GCGTGCTGCCAGGCGGTGCGTGCTACGCGTTGCCGGGCGGTGCATGCTACTGTGCGCGTTGTCGGGCGGTGCGTGCTGTTGGGCGGCCCGCTGTGCGTGCTGCTGCCTATGACTGCGCCGCAGTGTGCTGCCGGGCGGTGTATCCATAACACTTCATCATTAGTTCCACAGCCTGCTGAACAGCTAATTCGATATATCCTTGAACTATATGAATTATAAATAGATTATCACATAAATCACCAACCTATTAATAACTTTTTTCCCTGTGTAGCTCAGCCTCCATATTGGTCACCAATCCATAGCTCTTAGAAAAAGCTATCAACATTTGATTTAACGAGTCTCTTATGACTCCACTACCACCACCTGGACCAAGATTCTTTATCGCCACTCCATCAACATTCCACTAGACCTGCTTAAACCGAGGACTGTTAGGGGGTCCAAGGTTGACCTCGAGAACATCCAACTAAGCTCTTTCCTCTATCAACTGTTGGGAACAATCCCTATATTTTTCCTTGTGCAAAGCAGAGATATTTTAACCAATAAATAATAAGTACGCAATAATGAAAATAAATAACTAAAAACAAAGCAAGCAACAGTAGTAGACACCAAGTTTTAAAGTGGAAAACCCCTCAATGTGAGGGTAAAACCCACGGGACCGAAATCCAAATCATCCACTATCAGCAATGAAAATGGGATACAATGTTTTTCCATCTAGTGAGAACTAGATGACGAACATCAAGAAAGCTCTTGTGTTCCAACAACAAAAACATCAATAAAATAGACAACAAATAGGAAATCTCTCACCAAAGGTGGAAACCCAGCAATGGAAGCAAGAAGAGATGCCAAAAATGGATTTGTCTTCTTCGTTTCAGCCCTTATAAAACTCCTTCTTCTAAACCCTTCTTCTCAAAACTCCTTCTTTGTTCTCTGTTATTTTCTAGAGAGTTGTTGAAGTTGAGAGAGAGAGAGAGAGAGGAGAGTCAACTCTCCTAATTCGTTGATAGCCAAAAGACGTATTTGAATACAAAAGGCCCTTTTAGTTGATTTCCCCTTTTTATCCTTTTCACTTTACTTATTCTGTAGAAATCAAACTTATTCTTGGGTAAACATT